TGTTATTTAAGAAGAGTTATTAATAAGGGTAGAACTAGTAACTTATATTAGAAACAAACTAGAAATAAAAATAGAATAAATAGTAGTGCTATTGACTGCAATGCCCTGGGGATGGAAGAGATGAAGAGAGGCGCTGGAGGTGAGGAGAGAGAGAGAGAACGAGAGAGAAAGCGAGAGCAAGGGCAGGGGCAGGTAAGGAAGGCGGGCGGGGCAGCGGCTCCTCCCGCCTCTCCGAGCTTCCCTCCTGGGAGGCTGTGGTTCTGCGAAAGCATCGGCGGGGTCCAGGCGCCAGCAGCTCCACGCTGTTCTGTTGGAGAACGGGGACCGCGGCTCGCAGAGTTGCGGGGCACTGGGCGCAGGAGGGGTAGATGCAGGAGCCTAGGTAGGTGCAGCCAGTGAGGCAGTGCAGGTGGGGACGCGGGGCCAGGTTTCCAGAACCCGCTCTGCCCAGGCCGTGCCACGCGCGCCGCGGGAGCCCGCTCACCCGCGCCTGTTGTTTCCACAGAGAGGACGCCGTGGCGCCCGGGTGTAAGGCCAGCGGGCGCGGCAGCCGCGTCACCCAACTCCTGGGGTACCCGACGCAGAACGTCCGCCGCTCCCTGCGCCGCCAGTACGCGCCCCCGCCCTGTGCGGGCCCCGAGGACTTGGCGCTGGCGCCCCGCAACGCCGCCTGCGAAGCGGGCCCCGCCCCGGTCTACGTCAAGGTCCAGAGTGCCGAGCCCGACAGCGCCCAGGCGCCGCTGCCCCACAAGGACGGGCTCCTGGTGTGAGCGCCTCTGAGCCCCGGCCTGGGACACGCGCCCCGGCTGGGGACGCGCGCGCGCCGCTGGGACTTGCGCGCTGACTGGGACACTCGCTCGGGTGGGGACGCGCGCGCCGGCGGGGGCTGGAGGCAGCACCCTTGGGAACCGAGAGGGCGAGGAGAGAGACCCTCCCCGAAGTGGGAGGGGGCGGGAGGGCGAAGGAAGGCCGCGAGCGCCCTCTCCGCGCCCCGCCGGAGGCTCCGGGAGAGGGATAGAAGAATATTCGAGAGCACTAGGCTCCGGCCAGGCCGGGTGGCGGGGTCTGGACTGAATTGTTTTGTGTGTGAGATTCGAGCTTCGAGGCGGCAGCGTTTAGCACAATAAAGAGACTGTAAGACGAATCACTGCTGGCTGTGGTTCCACTGAGCGCTGCGGGTCGGCTCGGGTGGGGGCTGCGCCCGATACTCCCGCGTTGTCGCACCTCACCCGCCCTTCAGCTCCGCAAGCGCAAGCGGTAGCGGACAGATCTAGAAGAGGTTGTCTAATTGACCCGTTCCCCTCGGACTGGATTTGAGTTCAGAATCGTCTTTTTCTTTCTTTTCAGAAAGTCGGAAGGGTCCTGTTCAAGGAACTGGAGGGGTGGCTTGTCGGAATGGCCCCTCTGGACCGTTGTCAGCACCCTCCTTCCTCCTCATCAGTCCTCCTTACCCCCCACACCCTCCTTTTCCCGACCCTCTTCTCAGTCTGAAGATCCTTGTCTCTCCTCTGTGTGCTGGGGTTCACAGTCACCTTTAGTATAGAGAGACCTTGAAGGTTCCCTAATCCAGTCCCCGTTTAAGGGAAGGAGATTGACATCAATTGGGCACCCACTAAGGGCCAATATTTTGTCTTGAAGAATCCTTATGTTGGTCTTGTGGGGTCCTGCCCTACGCCCTAATACAGATGAAGAAACTGAAGAGAGATTAGTTTCTTTATCAAGGTCACAAAGGTAATAATTCAGATTTTGATTCAGTCATCGTTGACTAGGAAATTAAGAAATCAAGATAGATCTCAGATACTTGAATCCTTTTATATAATTCCTGGGGCATGCCGGGATATTGTAGCCTCTTGCGGACTGCATCCAGGGGCATCTCACTACTGACTAACGCACTTGGTCTCTGCCTGGGCTCTACTGAAGCCAATTCCGCCCCTCCCCCAATAGCTTGTGTCTCTGGGTTCAGCATGTGGAGAGCAGAGGCTTCTTGGTCTTTCAGTGTCCCTGGCCTGCCACAGGCTCTTGGGAGCCCAAGTACTTCCTCTTCTCTGTGTCTCTTTTCCCCATTATGGGAAGCAGGACTTCTCATTCTCCTGTTTCTATCCTGGGGCTTCATGAGGTATGGGGTTTGGGTCACCTTAAAGTGTCTGAGTTACCAGTTTCTTAACTGCGGAAGCCTGGTCACGCTAACTAGGGGCCCTTCTGCCTGTCTGGGCATTTGCAAAGCGTGTCGGCATTGGCTTTGCTGGCTCTGCCTTGTTAGTGCTTGGAAAGTCAATGGTGGGCCAGAGCACATATTTGGAGTTGGGGTGGGGAGATGGGGCTTTTGGGATGGTGGGAATAAGGGAGTGAAGGGATTGAGAGGTGAGGGAGCAGAGAAGTGGAGGAGCGCTTCTTTCTTCCTAATACAGACCACAAGCACCTGTTCACAGGACTTCCACCTTCCGCAGGGCCTGGGCCGGGCTCACTTTTGCCCTCAGGCAGGGCAGGAATAGGGTTCTTGGGGGAACCTCTCCTAGTCTGAGGCACCTTCTGCAAGGTGGAGAGGGACAGAGGCAGCCAGCTACAGCTACAGTGGGTCAGTGGATGGCGAGATCATCCCCTCCCAGGACCAGGGAGCTGCTGGAAGCAGCCTCCATGGAGCGTGACAACAGCCAGGTGAGGCAAGAGGAACTCATTCAGAAGCTGCTAGAGATTGTAGAGTGGCTTTGGAAGCCATTTCCTGTCTGGGTGACACAGCAAGGAGGCCATGGGAGTTCCTAAAGTCACTGTCAGTCACTGTCCTCACACCAGGGTGAGACGGAGGGAAATTTCTGCTCCATAGATTTTTGCAGCAGGGACACCTTGGTCATTTCCATTTCTCCGTCAGGAGACCTTGTCTGTCTGGCAGTGTTATGCTCAGGTTTCGAGTTTCCCGAAGGCCACCAAGGAGTCGATTCCGATGCAAAGCTCACGAGTGTCTTTATCGCAAGCTCGAGCCTGGGTTCCCAATCTGCACCAACGCAGCAGCCGAAGTTGAGAGCCCGGAGCTCAGGGAAGGCAGGGTTGTTATTACAAAAGAGGGGAGTTCCAGCCCAGCAGTACATTGATTGGTTGACATTGAACAAAGGTGTCTTGTCTTAACCTGGTTGATCTATGCATGTAGGATGTGACCTTCACTACTTGGCCCTCATACCTTAGGACATCTGGTGCTTTCCTGATATGTTCTGGTTACTTGTCCACTTGCTCATTGGCTGTTGCTACAGGATGAGCAAGATTAGGACATTTACAGTTAAACTCGGCCTTGGCGCCTTGTTGATAACCGAAACTGAGGCCTGGCTGGTTCAGAAGCATTCTGAAGCCTGTCATGGCATCAGTCTGGTCTTTCAGCGGCAGTGGTGGTGGTTAAGGTTTAGTAGTTGCTTGGTGAGTAGGGTTGGCAGTAGGGGGCAGGAAAGCCCTGGTTTGTAGCCTTGGCCATTTCTGTGACACAAATACCTCCACGGTGCCTGATTTTGAACTACCTGCGTGGGCTGGGAGGCGTGGGCATTAGCATTTGGCTGTGGGCAGCAGTGAGCTGGGGTAGAATAGTTAGAAAGTGATGCGCCTGCGTACTCCCCTTTTGTTTAAATCGTCTACTAAACTGTGAATTTGTATTATTAATGCTCCATCATGGCTGCTTTTAACCACTGGTGAGCAAAATTTGGGCAGAGCATGTCCATGGCAGAAGGCTGCAGGCTTCACCCCTCCTGCACAGGGAATCTCAGGGCAGTCCTGAGTCCTGTTTTCCTGTTTTCCACAGAGACTCAAACAACACATGGTCAGCTGTCTTCCTTCCACGGCTAGTTCCGCCTCCTGTATGTGGGTGGGGGGGGTGCCCCCTTGCTGGAAATGAATTCAACTTTCTCTGGTCACTGAACAATCTAGATAATTTATATGTCCTCAGAAATCACGGAGAGCTTACCTGGCATCTGCAGAATTTCTGTGAGCTTTGCTTCCCAAGGCAGGCAGACCGGGAAATGTCAGCAAAGGATGTCTGAGTCTATCCCGATTCCATTTCTCTGATTGTCTCTCTGAGTTTTGGAAGTCAGCCTCGAGAATCCCCCTAAGCTACAAATTCTCAGGATGGTGGGTGCTACGGAATCCCAGACTCTCTGTCTATGTGTTTCTGTTAGAGTAACTTTTTTTTTTTTTAAAGATTTATTTATTTATTCATACAGAACTGGGGTACAGGCCAGAGATGCGGAGGGTGAGAGGATTCACCAGAGACAGAGTGGGGTGCAGAACAGGCAGATCGACGAAGTACACTGCTGAGGGGAGCAACGGGCGGGTCAGGAGAAGTCTGCCACGCCATGTGGTCACCTCCGGGGCAGGCGGGAATCAAACTCATGCGGAAGTGGCTTAAGCTTCTTTGTGCAGTGCTTTAACCTGTTGCGCCACCAGGGAGGGCCTAGAGTAACTTTTATTAGCAAGCGCGTGGCCTGCTGCTTCAGTTCCTCTCGCCCAGGTCAGAGGGCAGAGAGTTGGTGACTGCGGTAGGGATTGACAGTTTACCTGCTCACTGGAAACCATGAAAGGTTGGGGACGATTGCTCTTCCAGACTCATAAAATTGCTGGGCTGCTGCGACACAGGTAGCCGCCTCCTTGAGGCAGCACTGATGGGTCTTCCTCGCCCCCCTTAAGTGTCCTAGAGCTTCGGCTCTGTGCCCACCCAGCTCTGGGAGTAGCTGAGACCTTTATGCCTAGGATGGAGCAAAACCAACTCTGTTTAGTCCCGTGGTCAGAATGGAAGGGACGGCGCACCCACAGATGAGGGACAAAGTGTAGGAGCTCTGGAAAGCCTGGTGGGGTCATGGCGCCCGCCGGAGGTGTCTCTGTGGCGGTCACTGCAGCCTCTCTGGATGCTGTTAGGAGGCTGGAAGAGGAGGAGACTGAAGTCCTTGACAGAGGCAGGAAACGAAAAGAGCAGGACCAGTGAGGCTGCTGAGCTTATCTTTCTAGGGACTGAATTTTAGGTCAAGGTGGACCCTGGTGTGAAAAGGGAGAAAAGAGGGAGGAAGGACGAAGGTGACTTGTAATAATACGTGATTTGGTAATGTTCATATGCAAAGGAAAAGGCCCAGTTTTATTTTAAATACAGTTTTCTTTCTTTTTTTCATAACATCAATGCAAAATATTTGATTTTATTTTTTAATATTAAAAGTTCATTATTATTTTTAATTAATCAATTTTTCATACATCATTGTAGTCCCCATAGTTCTCCTACCACCACCTGTGAAACATCATCATATTCCCTTGTGCTCTTCCCTCTGCTGTATGGACCCCCTTCCTCACTTTCCTTTGCTGTATGCCTCAGCTCCATGGTCAGCTCACTGATTTTGACTTCTTGACCTTTTGTTTGGTTTCTCTGTGTTCCAAAGATAAGTGAGGCCATCTGGTATTTATCTTTTTCCTTCTGACTTATTTTGGCTAGCATAATCTCTCCCGGCTCCATCCATGTTGCCACAGTTTATCTTTTTGACTGCTGAGTAATATACCACAACTTTTGATCCATTTGTCTATTTGGGGGCATTTGGGTTGTTTTCTTATTTTGCTTTTGTATAGTTGCATTATGTATAGGGGTGCAGGTTTCCTTTCTAATTAGTGTTTTTGTGTCCTTTGAGTGGACTCCTAGGAGTGGAATCGTTGGGTTATATGGTAGATCCATTTTTAGTGTTCTAAAAATACATAGCCTTGCATAGTGGCTGGACCTGTTTACATTCCCACCTGCAGTGTAAGAGGGTTCAGGATGCCTCAGATTAGGAGCTGGGCAGGTTGGTTTGGTTAACAGTTCCCAAATTCTCAGTTTCTCTCTCTGTAAAGTGAAATGGAACTAGGACTGTTTTGTGTCAAGTGCTTATTGTGGAGCCTTGTGCACAGTGGGGATCAGCAAAGGTTGCCCCCCAAGCCCTGTTTGTAATATGTAATTTTATCTCCTACAGGAGGGGAGACCCTGATATGTAGGTCCAACTCCACAGAGGTGGGGGTCCACTGGGTGGGGTGGAGTCAGTTGGGTGAAGCCTGGGGATTGAACTTGGAGGAGGCCCATTAGCGGGGGAAGGAGGCCAGGAGCTTTGAGAACAGCAGGTAGAGACCTAGTTGAGAGCCTGGCCTTGCCTCCGAGTCCTGGAATTCATGTGTTAATACTCACAGCAGCTCATTAGTAATAGTGACACTAATAATGACAGGAAGCACCTGATACAAGTGGGGTGGGGTCACAGAGTCGCCTGGAGACTAGTACCAGAAGCCATTGGGCACCTCCCCTTCAGGGCAGAGGGCAGGTCCACTGGGCAGGTCTCGTGTTCTGGACTAACAGGACTTGAGGAAGCTCTTCCCCGTGCAACATGTACGTTTTATAAACACTTGAGGAAACACCAAGTTTGTGATCACTGCCGTTTAAACGGAGCGGGGGATTCCTCTTCTGGAGCCTCACTTGCTGATACACGTTGCTCCTGAGAGGAAATTGGACTCCTTGTTTAAGACCCACCAGGCCTTCCAGGAGTGAAGGACACTGTCCCAGAACGTGGGGAATGTGGGTAACCCCCCTTCTGCCTCCTGGTCTCTCCATCTGATATGCCAACACCAGAAATATGCCCTGGCAGGCTTCCGCCACATTTACAGTAGCTGACCTGCTAGGTCAACAGATGCCTCAAGTCCTTCTGGGCCTGGCCCACCATCTTCCCATCCTCGGGTATGGAGACTCCGCCTCCTGCGTCTTCTGTCCCTCTCAGAGAAGGCCCAGAACCCACTCTCCTCCCCTTGTCCTGCTCTCCTGCCTGGGCGACAGCAACAGTGTCCCCACTCATGTCCCTGCCTCCTCCTTTCCACCTGCTTTGTTAACCAGAGTGACCCTACAACCCTGCCGTGGCTGCCCTTGTGCTCAGAGCCTGGGGGTGGGGAGGACCAGCCTTGTCTCTTCTCCCTGCTCCCTCCCTTCCTCCAGCAAGCTCACTGGCCCCTTTTTCTGGTACTCCTTGGGGTCTGAGGCCCTGATGACAGATCTCTCCCATGGGCCTCCCAGTGGCAGAATCATGACCTCTTCCAAGGTTGCTCAGCTCCTGCCTCACTGAGGCCTTTAGGACGGCAGGGCCCCCTACCTGTTCTCATTGTCCCCTACAGAGCACTAAAAGGCAGTATCATTGATCTGTCACAATTATCCACACTCCCTCCTCCCCCGCACACCCCCACCCCTGCCACACTGTACTGTAAGCTCCACAAAACACAACAGGGACCTGTGTTTTATTCATTGTTTATTCACTCAGCTCAAAAAATAAAACAAAAGCAAAAAATCAGGGATGAATAGGTGTTCAGTAGGTATTGATGTCAAGGACAGTGCTTCATGGTCCCAAGATGGTTCCCCACCCTTATTTCCCACAGACTCTGTATATTTCAGGGTTTTTGGAGCTGGGAGCAGGGCCCCAGGCGGTGGCAGGGTAGCTGACGCAGGGACTTATGGGCCTGGAGCAGTTGGGGCTGATTTGCTGTGAGCCTCCTCACCCCATCCCCTAAGACATCTTGCAGCCTCTGGGCTCAGGTTTGTGAGGAAGCTTCAGCCTCTGGAATGTAAAAACCCACCCAGCTCAGGTGTGCACCAGCTGTCTGGGTGGGAGAATGAGGCACAGGGGAGGGTGGCTCTCCTTCCTCACACTGATTGACATTTGGGTTAGTAAATGTTGCAATGTATGAATTTACCTCTCCTTAACTAGCATTTTAACCATAAAAATGGTCATTTTCATATGACTCAAGCCAATACAATTCAGGGCTCAGTTTCCAGATGTTTGATTCCTTTGAAAGTCCATTCTTTGGTAATTAAGGGTGAATGAATTTCACGTCATCCTGAGACTGGCCTGCTTCTCTTTCTGTATTTCCAGTTTGGGGAAGTCCATCTGCCTGAGTTGGTCAAACCCTTTGTCCCTACAATTGCCCTTCACCCCAAAGCCTTGACTTGACCCTCCTTCTAGCACTTAGATTTTTCTTGAATCCACCCGCTTCTTTTGCTGGGATTAGGCATTCTCCACACAGACACCAGCATGAACTTAAAATGCATCTGATCATGTCATTTCCTTCTAATAACTCTTTGGTGACCTCCTTTTACATTTTGAATTAAATTTTAAATCTTACCGTGTCCTACCAGAGTGGCACGATCTGACCTCTGCCACGCTCTCCTCCCAGAACCCCCTGCTCATCACCCTCTGCCAGGGGCCTTCCTTCAGATTCACATGCACTGGATCCTTCCAGAAGGGCTTCTGCGTGCTACCCCATCTTGTTTGTTCTGCCTGCTTTCCCTGAGGCCTCGTACAAAGGCTGCCCTGTGCCAGCTGTGTTTTGCTCCCTCATTATTCTTGCTCACAGTTTTCTGTTCTATTCCTCTGTAAAGTTTAGCCCATTTTTAATTAAACATTTGTGTGTTTTGTTTAATATCTGTCTCTCCTGCCTGGACGGCAAGCTTCCTGGCTCCCGGGAAGGCTGTCCTGCTCACAGAGGTCTTCTTAGCCTCTAAGGCAGTGGCTGCCCATGAGGGGTGTGAGGAGGTCGCGCCACTGGGGTCCTTTAGAAAATGGGGGCTATTTTCTGGTTAGACCTCTGACCCACTTGCCCACTTGCTTGCTCTGTTTCTGGCTGCAGTGAGGACTGGGGGTTTACTCTCAGCCTTGGGGAGGTGTCAGGTTCAGGAGGGGTTGAAGATCATGCGAAAAATGTCCAGGGGGTTCCCCATACACAGACCTGCCGAATACTGGTGATGATGAATCAAGCCAATAAATGGTTACATGCAATACACCCTGTCCTCCCACTTTGATGCTATACTTTCAAAATGAACTTCAAGGAGAGGTTTGTGCTCAGATACCTTGAGCTTTTGGGGTTTCCTACCAGAAACTGGCGGCACAGGTTGGGTAGGGCCTTGCCCCAGGACTGAGGCCAGATCTTATCTCTCTCTCTCACACCATGACGGTACATTAGTGTCCATGTACCTGTGCTGGCTCCATGTTTCAGCCCCAAAGTGATGCCCAGTGCCCCGAGTTCCTTCAGAACTGGGGATGCATTATAGGCAGCGTGGACCACTCATGGGAGGATGAACCTGAGAGGGGCTTGTGCAAGTTCCAGGATTCCCATTTGGACAGGATTTCTGGGATCCTGAGTTTCTAGAAGAAGAGGATTCTAGAAGTGGGAGAGTGAGCTCCTGGACCACAGCGTGGAGGAGAGCTAATACAGGCCTGCATCATGGCCTAGGATGCTGGCCAATGTCCGTTCTTTCTGGATACAGCCTCCAGAAGAATCTGCTCTTCATGGACTGATTGAGGCTCTCCTGTTTCCGTCTGGCCTTTGGTGCAGAGCATCCTCTCAGGGGCATGCAGCTGAGAACTCTGCCATTTCCACTGACTACTCAGGCCCAGGACACCAGGTGAACTGGCCCGAGCTCTAGGTCTGCTCTCCTTGACCCTCTTCCTGGAGTGGACTGGTGGGAGCAGCAGGATGCCTGGTCTTCTCGAGTCCAGTCAGGCTGAGGGTGAAGGACCCCGAAGGTGCAGGATTGAGTGTGTTAGCATCATTCCAGGCACCCCATCAAGATCCTGTCCCCACCTGAGAGCCATCTACCGCTTCCCCACGCCCAGAGGGCAACCCAAAGGCACTGGCCTGGGATAGCCTGGAGTTTTGAAACACAGAGAAATGACGCCCTGGCCTTCTGGGGACTGCTCAGGAAGCCTCCAGCCACGTCGCTTCAGCCGAAGCTTACTTCAGCACAGCCAGACCATCCCCCTGACCATCCCCTCCTCCCCAGGGACCGTGCTGGGGGACAGAGGTCTCACAGGCCAGGAGATGCCTGTGTGCACACGGTGGGCCACCAGCTGTGTACCAGCTGTGTGTACCAGCTGGAACCTGTTGATTTGGAATTTTCCCACGAGGCTGTAAGCTCTGGAGGGCCACACGCCATGTCTGTGGCGCCTGTGTTTTAGGGGTGCCGTGCTCGGATATGCTGGCCAGCGAGCATATGACCCATTTCCTGTTTACAGAGTCCTGGTCCAACTTGGTTTTGTACTTGATTTTGTCAAACCAAATACCACTTCCAACAAGAAGTCCAGCAGTTTCTCCTTCCTACCCTCCAAAGGAGGCCTGAGCTAGGCCAGTTCAACCATGCTTGTCTGGAATTTGAATATCTACTGAACAATGTCTACTGAACAGAGAGAAACCAGGGCAGATGGATTCCAGGGTGCCCTGGTGAGGTCATCCCCAGGCCTTCGGGTTTTGCCCTTCCTCAGGCCTGTTTGGTGGTTAGTGTTTTATTTGGTTTGCTGAGCTGTGTATGATTTTCTAATAAATTCCTTTTATTTGACCTTAATTAAAACCAAACTTTGTTTTTGCTGCTTGAATCCAAAGAATCTTAACTGATACAGTGTTTTCCACTGTCCTTAAATATTCTAAAGAACATGATTTTTAAAATGACTATGCATTGAATTCTCTCCATGTGTGTGTCTGTGTATGCACTTGTGTGTTTTTCTGGCCATAGTAATACTACTTCCCACCAATTTCTCCTTCAATTCTGGCACGATCCCTGAGCAAAATGGTAGCAGAGACATCTAGAAAAGTTCTTCCTTATGGATGCGAGACCTGGCTTCTGACACCCTCCCCCACCCAACATGGTTCGCTTTGTTCCTTTATTTATTCACCCATTGCTTTAATTTATGATTCATTTTTAATGTTGGAAGGATCTAACGAGTTGTCTGGGCTGGGAATGCAAATAGGCTCCATCCTAGCTCCGACTCCAATCTCTGAGCCACATTAGACTCAGTGGGAAAGTATGTGGGAGGTGCTGGCTGGCCGTGTCCCGCAGTCCCAGAAGGCAGGAGTCCTGATGGATGTGCCACACGCTGGTCGATCCTGATCTGAGGCAGCTCCCACCGATAGGAAGAGCCTCATTTGTATCTAAGAGGGCATCTGCTTCAGACACTGAGGAAGCCGTCCTTCATGTTGGCATTTTTCAAGTGGTGCACAGCCCTCCTGGGTGTCTAATGGGTAGAAGGGCTCCGCGATCTGCTACGTAATCGTACTCTGTGCCACAGGGTTGGACTCCTGCATGTGAACTTTGAGGGGACATAGTCAGTTGACACTGAACAGTGTGGGCAGTGAGTGACCTGAACAGTTAGTCGCTGGATACTGGAGAACTTCCCGTGTCTTTGGGGGCACGGGCTGCTGGGTCCATCTTGCGCACAGCAGAGTTCGGGCATGCAGAGAGAAGAGATACGAGGCGGGGCTAGTGTCCCCTGTGTCACTGCCCGCAGTGTGACAGGCAGCCGGCTGGACCTCTCAGGAGGCACAGGACCTTGGTGTTTCCAGGCACAGCTGCGGCCAATCACATGCTGGTAGTGGGGTCCCTCCCTCCGCAGCCACTACACCAGGGGTGTCTCTGTTTCTATAGCTGCTCTGTCAGCACACACTTTCTTCCTTTTCCCTGGCAAGAAGGTTAGAAAGAAGGTTGGGGTGCTTGGCACCTTTGCCTTGGCCTTAGGTTTTTGACTGCTAATGGTCCATGATGCCCAGAGTACTGGGATGGGTGTGTCCTTGAAGCCCCTTCAGGCTAAGTAACACTGGGGGTGCAAACAAAGCAGGGGTAAAGAGCTTGGAACTGGCAGGAACCCCATTTTCCCCTTCCTTCTCCTCAGGAGGCCAGTCGGCACTGCTGGAGGGGCTCTCTCAGAGAGCCTTTTCTAAGGTGTTGGAGCAAAAAGGGGTGGGATTCCCCTAGACTTCATTCTGTAGCCTTTATTGATTCAAGCTGTCCCAGAAGCCTCTGCAAAGTGGCTGGTAGTGACCAGACTTTGCCTTTAAGAGGCTGAGACTTCAGTGGGAGAGAAAGTGCCGCCCTTCTATGCTTGGGATAAGCACTGGAGAGGAAAGGCAGAACACTATCTCTGAATGTGCTAGAGGAAGCCAGGAAGGCTTCCTGGAGGAGATGCACCTTGAAGATCACATAGGAGCTAGATGAATGGAGAAGAAGCTGGGTGTGTCCGGGGTTTGTTCCAGACAGGGAATAGATGGTGCAGGGTCTGACGTTGGCCCATTCTGACTGGGATCTAGAATGTAAGCTCGAGGGTCATGGAAGTGGTGGCAGAGGCTGGCAAGCAGACTACCTAAAGCCCAAACAGAGGGAGGCCCATACTCTGGCCTGACAGGTAGGCTTCTCCCCCGCCTGGAGACCTTGCAGGAGCCTACCTGAGCAGGGTCTGTAGTGCCAAGCAGAGAAGATAGCAGCCAGGACTAGGAGCAGTGAGACGGGCACCACCACCAGCAGCACATCTTTGTAGGAAGCTGCCCCTGGTGCTGGACATGGAGGAGCCAGAGTCAGAGTGGACCAGACGCTTTGCAATCCTTCGACCCCTGACCCTGGCTCTTGGCATACCTGTTTTGTGATGGCAGCTCTCCCAGGGGGTGACTGTGGCCGAGTCCCAGCTGACAGGGTTGGAAACGATGCAGGAATAGGCCACACTCTTGTCGCCTGGTCCGAGAGAAATCCTGAGCACCTGTCCATCTTCAAAGAGTCCAGGAGGCTCGACACCGAAATCAATGGTCCCCTCCCTTCGCCAGCTGTAGGTGATATCAGTGATGTTGGGGGCCCAACAGGACAGGAACACTTGGCAGGTCTTGGGAGGCTGAGTGCCCCCTGGTACAGCAATGAACACTTGCACCACGGGCCTGGGCACAGCATCTGGGTAAGAAAGGCAGAGCAGGTTACAGGGAGGCATGGGGGGAGGGGGCATGCTGTTGCCCCAGGATCCTCAAGCTTACATGCCACCTCTGACTGGGTGACTTGTTCTGAAACAATGTCTCACCTCCCCTGCCCATAGGACAGAGGGGGTTCAAGCCCCCTCACGAAATGGCTTATGTCAACCTCTCTAGCTGCAGCTCCTGCTGGTCTTCCCGCCTGCCCTGACCAATGTACAAGTCTCCCAAACATGTCCAGCTTTTCCATTTGGTTCTTGCCTTCCTGAACCTTGCCTTTCTCTTCTCATCCTCCTAGAAAACTCCTATTCACCCTCAAGGCCCAGCTGGGACACAGGGACACACGGCTCTGAAGGTGATGTTCAGAGGCATGGCTCTCAGCCCTCCAGCACTCTGTCTGGCCCTGTCACAATATGAAACATCATTCAAAGGGACAGTGAGTGTTTATGGAGACTCGCAAGAAAAGCAATTCCTGGATTTTTGGAGCTGATAGTTTGATGAGTAAGACAGATACTGACAAGTGGCTGTGAAGAATTAAGGCACTAATTGCAAGGGTGCAGCTTGCTATACCCCGGCGCAGAGATACCAGAGCTATTGACCAACTGGAGTCCTGTCGTCCTAGGCTGTGACTCCCCTTTGCTATCCAGGTTGATGAGGAAACTTGTCTCTGTGGCAGTGGGGGCCAGCAGGAGAGCATTCTAGTGACAACAGGGGGCTCAGCCTCTGACAGCGTTCCAAAGTCAAGCAGAGTAAAACCTCATTAATGCCAGCTCAATCTGGTGGGATTTGTGATATGAAAAAAGGAAAGATTTGCTGGGCACACTAATAGTATAAACAAAGATTACAGGGGGGATATTTACACCACTTAAAAGGACACGCTGCTTCCAAACACGATCCGCACAGTAGAAACACCCATTGACATTGCTAGTGACGGATCTGCTAATTCAAATCATTCTTATCTATTGTCAAAGCAGAGCTCCTAAGGCCGCTGCTTGGCAGCTTTGTGCAATTAGTTCTAATCACGCTATGTATTTGGAAGCAATAAAACAGCAATTTCCTTAAAATCTGTAATTCAGATGCTGGGAACAGGCATTTTAGAGCTTAGTGGAGTGGGTGCCGCATGCATTATCACATCAATGTCCTCATTTCACATGTGTGGCGGCTGAGACCCAGGATGCAGGGCTGTCTGGGTGGCTGTGCAGGCTTCACACGACATAAGGGTACCACATGGGGGGTGAGCGGTGCGGGTGGAGCTGCTGACACACAGCAGCTCTCTGCCCACCGAGCGCTGCCCCTGTTCTGGGCTGCATGTCTCTCCAATGCGCCCTCTGATTGCGCCCTGAGCCTCTCACCCAGACGCAACAGTTCACTGTCTTTGGGGTGGGGGTTTTCTCTCCTCCCCAATTTACTTCCTGCTTTTCTCTCCATCACTGTCCCTTCTTCTCGGCTTTCACCGCCCCCATTCTTTTCTTCTTTTTTTTTTTTTTAAGATTTATTTATTTGTAACTGGGGAACAGGGCAGAGGGGCAGGGGCAGTGAGAGGATTCACCAGGGACAGAGTGGGGAGCAGAATAGGCAGATCGACGAAGTACACTGCTGAGGGGAGCAGCAGGCGGGTCAGGAGAGGTCTGCCACGCCATGAGGTCACCTCCGGGGCAGGCGGGGATCGAACTCATGCGGAAGTGGCTTTAGCTTCTTAGTCTGCGTTTTAACCTGCTGCGCCACCAGGGAGGGCCCCACCCCACCATTCTTGAAACTTTGTCTCACCATTCTTGAAACTTTTTCTCCCCTATACTCAATATCAAATTTTGAGATTTTACTAAAATAGTGGCTAGGGGGTTGTTCATATCTTTTCCAAGCCGTTAAGTAGATAAACAAGAGCCAAAGGCTACCTTTTCTGGACCAGCAGACATGGAGTGGAGGTAGTGGAGACAGAGGTGCAGGGGATGGTGTAGCGAGTCGAGGCAGGGATGGTGTAGGAGGCAGTGTTGGAGGTGGAGGGTGCATGCATGTGGAGGTGGTGATGGCAGGCAGTGGGGTTGCTGCAGAGAAAGGCCTGAGCAGACCCCAGTGCAGCAGCCACACGCTGAGGCGCTGAGTGCCGATGTGTACGTGAACCAGCCTCACTGGGCACAGAGGTCTCCCAGGCTGAGCCCTGCCAGCTCCCAGGATTGTGAGATGTGAGAAGCAGTTTGTAACCTCCGGGCTGGGAAGGCAGCTCTGTTCACCACCAGCGCTGCCCTTAATCGGTCGGTTGTGGGGTGACTTGCAGCCGTGAATCACCGAGACAACTAAAGAAATCAAACATCTGCAAGTGGCATCCACAAAGAAAGATAAGACAAAACGTGGATCTGTGCTCCTGCCACATTAACTGTGTTGCCAACCAGTGTTACCTCAATACAAAAGTACACTGATTCTTAAACAGAAAGACCAACCCATGAAAGAAAACAGAAAAAAAAAAACCAAATCTATGCTGCAACTATAATTTGACTTTTAAAATTACTACTGTCATAGTAAGTTGGCAATATTTATTTCTCTTTTTAGGGTACATGAAGTACCCAATGCCTTAGATGGCTGAAGTAGTGTGTCCTCTGCATTTTACTTTTACAGGCAACCACATGGCAACATCTGATGCCCGTTTACAACGGAGAAAGGGAAATATCAGGGAAACTAACCCGGAGCCAAAGGTCGCTGAGTCAAGCAAAGTTTGCGTTGGGGTTCAGATAAGGTCTGTGGGGTGGCCTGCCCTGACAGGCGCTCACCTGGGGAGCCCGAGGTGTTCTCTTAGATGTGGCTGAGGGTGCGACCGTTCCCTGAATCAGACCTGAGATCAGAGGCCAGAGGGTTCTGGAACCTCGCCTTCCCAGCTCTCCGTGGCGGGAGGCCCTTCCGGCTGTGGGAGAGGCGCGGGACACTCACCGTACACCTGGAGCTGCAGCGTCTGGGTCAGGGCCTGGCCTCCTGCGTCCACCAGCAGCACAGAGAAGTTGCCGCTGTCTGCAGACTGTAGCGGCTGGAGCTCCAGGCTGAGGTTGCTGTGCAGCTGGGCTCTGCCCAGGAAGCGGGACTGGTACAGTGTCTCTGGGGAACCCCGGAAAAATGTGGCCAGGAGCTCCTCCGAAGGCCAGAGCGATCTCCAGATGACCTCTCGGACTTGGAAGCCTGGGGGTGGCTCTGCCTTGAGCAGCGCTGAACCCCCCACCAGGGCATGCACGCAGGCCCCAGCCACTGCCCCTGCAAGCAAAGCTAAGAGAACAGGGTCAGTTCCCACCTGCCCTGCCCAGCAGGACCCGGCAGAGGCACATGGGTGAGAGTGCCCAGAGTCAGGGTCTGGGAATAAAATGCAACAGTGAGGAGAGTCTGGTCCCTGGGTCCCTGGAGCTCAGAGAGGAAGCCAGACCATAAGCGAACAATACAGATATACTAGGTATCATCATGGGAAAAGGGGGTCTGGGAGAACACAGGTAAGCTCCCCAAGTCTTTTCTTCTTCCAGAGAATTGGCTAAGCTGAGTTGGAAGGAGGAAAGGGAGGCAGCTCTCAAGCAGGGGAGCGGCAGGGTGGGTGGTAGAGCTGGGGATGGTAGCAGGTGAAGGCCTGGAGGGGAAGGGCCTGGCGCCCTGGAAGCTGAAGGCAGTTTTCTGTGGAGTGAGACACTGCTCTGCCCAGCGGTGGGGAGTCACATTCCTCAGAGCACTGAAAGCAAAGTGGGGTCTGGGTTTTA